CGTCTGCTTCAGTGCACCACCTCTTACCTACGGTTGACAAGTTTGGCCTCAAAGTCTGCTATGGTCGTCGATTCAATCACGTCAAAATCGAGAATCCGAGCGGTTTCCCAGATTTACAGGTGTCTGCATCACCTTAGCAATCCATAGTAGCATAAAAAACCATAGCTTGTATCTTAGGAAACTATGCCTGACTGCCGAATTGCTTTTAAAGTTTCGTTCACACCATCTGAATGGAAAGCACTTTCTGTTTTCGATGAAGAAGTAAGCGCGGAAACAAGGCCAATTCTTGAGCTACTCGAATTGGAAGACTCCGAAACTGCTGCTGTATTTGACAGCAAGGTGATTATCTTGTTTTTACTTTAGTTATCTAAGAATGAGCACTCGTAGTTATAAGAGAAGCGAGAGGTGAATTCAAATGATTTCTTGATTAGGGTTGGGCTAACATTTCGGTGAGGTTAAAGCTACTGACAAATGTCAGTGAACACCTAAGTTTTCTGTTTCATATTATCTCTCATTCTATCATCTTCAGCCTTTCTACCATACTTCCAGTCTGAAGTTTTTCACACTCCTAGTATAGCATGATTATCGCTTTTCACATAGGCAAGCTAAATCGGTTGTACTTAATATGTTACTCTGAAAGTTTCTTACATTTGAAATACTGTTAGCTCCTCTCAGCTTGAATGAAATTGCATAATCGTGTTTTTATGTGAGAGAAACACAAAACAAGATAAAATAACTCATATAACGATTTTGCTGTTTCAACACTATTTTTGATCTGGTAGAGATGGAAGTGAGGATTGTACTGTTGTATGGACTTTGTAATTTGAATTTTCTTGATTGTTTTAGCTTTTGTGGTAAATAAGATTATGGTAAACTATCAATGTTGGAAAAACATCAACAAGATAGAAAAGAAATACTACTAGCGGCATTTATAGCACAGCAAACAGTCTCTTTTTCAAACATTTCTCTCCACAGCCTAACAAGATCAAGTTTCAAACCCTCTCTTTGCAGTTTTTGATCGTCATCTGGTGCAAAACGATCAGCAGTAAGCCAAGATACTTTAAAATAAGAATTTTACAAAAATTTTACTCTAGGGCAAAACTTTGCAATATACGAATTTACTTAGCTCTGTTTT